TTACCATTTGGAACCATAATCCGGAACATCCGGAACCGGTTCCATGGTAGCCATGTGGTCTTATGAATGAACTCTATCATTTCCAGGAGTTTCACGAAAAAAATCAATATGTTGTCGCAATGATATGTAAGATATATGATAGAGATTGAAAAAAATACCCCTGTGCCAACACATTCTTGAATATATAGAAAAGAGGGAGGGTCATGGGGGGGAGTACCACCCAACAAATGTAAGAACCACTCACCGGAATGATGTTAAAAAAAAGTCATTTAAATCGGCCATGGCATCTCTGAGATACAAATTTTTGAAAAAAAAAAGTTTGTCTCGGGCTTTTACGGGTTAAAATCCCGATGTAGGCCTCCGTGTTGACCTTTTCGCCTTCTGGAATGAACACCGGGTCCATTTTTTTTGCCATCGGAAGCCACCAATCCAAACATCATAACGCTAGCAGGATGCTTGGTCAGATACACGTTCTTGTGCTCGTCAGCCACGCATTTTACCGGAAGAGAACTAATATACCGGTCGGTCCTGGAATTTGATACGGGATCGACGGTAAACATGCTCTCGTCGGTGAACAGGATTACCGGATTTTTTCGCTTAAGGAAGTTCAAGATTTTCTTGTATCGTTCGACTCGTAGCTCCCGGATGGGGTTGGTAATCATGTGAGTTTTTTTCCGTGCCCTCGACTTCGCCCCGCAATCTTCCTTTATGATCTTCCGTGCCGTAAAGTCACTGATCCCGTGTTCCTTTGCCATTTTCCTTATTGAACGCACTGGATTCACCCGAATCTTCCTTTTGATAGCAGCTGACCTCGGACGACCTGTGGCCACCTTTGCGGATAGTTGTCCTTTCTTTTCTCGGTCTAAAACCCTTTTGACGGTCCACCGGGTCACTCCCACGGCGATTGAAATATCTTTTTGCGACATTTGCGCGTGAGACAAATCACGAATACGCTACCACTTCGTCATGGTGCAACTTTCAAACTAAGTAAATCATTTTCTTTTATACACAGCTTAAAGGGTGATACGGTCAAAATTTGGTCAAGGGAAAACGCGTGTAAATCGGTGAAATCGTTTATTTAAAAAATCAAATTAAATTTCTTTTTCAAGTTCAATTAGTATAAAATTCAGGAAAAATATTCAGTTAGGCTTCCGCTTTTCCAAATCCGAATTGCCGGGCCTTACGCTTGACCCCTGCCATCAGATTTTGTACAGCCACCTTGTCCACCTTCTTCGCCGCAGAAAGCCAGTTTGCCTTGAACTGCTGCTCGCCCTTAGCAGTTTTTTTGGTCTTCTTTAGGTTCCGCTTGACAATAGCCTAGTATTTCTCAATTGGGCGGAGCTCTGGCGTGTTGGGAGGGTTCTTGTCCTTGGGAACCACCTGCACGTTGTTGGCGGCGTACCACTCCATGGCCTTTTTACCGTAATGGCAAGATGCCAAATCCGGCCAAAACAGTACGGAACAACCGTGTTTCTTCAGGAAAGGCAGCAGACGTTTATTCAAACACTCTTTCACGTAAATTTCTTGGTTGACAGTCTCGGAAGCTATGAAAATGCTGCTTTTCAAGCCACAGATACAGATGGCTTGCCAAACCAGATATTTCTTTGCGAACTTTGACAGTTTCATGTGCTTGAAAACATCTGCTACTTTTCCCCTTCCTTTTGCCGTATAAAACTTCTGTCCCGGAAGCTGCTTGTAGTCGGCTTTGACGTAGGTTTCGTCGTCCATTACCACGCAGTCAAACTTCGTCAGCATCGTCGTGTACAGCCTCCGGGATCGCGCTTTGGCCGTCGTATTTTGTTTATCATCGCGATTTGGAGTCACTACCTTCTTGTAAGTCGATAGTCCGGCTCGTTTTTTGGCTCGATGCACGGTTGTAGACGATACACCCAGCTTATTTGCGGCATCTCGGAGAGAGAGGTTAGGGTTTCGCTTGAAACTACCGGCAACTCTCTTTGTCGTCTCAGCGGCTTCCGGTTTTCGATTTCCCCCCGATCCAGACTTCCTGGCTGTCGACAAACGTTCCCCAAACACTTTAATTACATTTGTAACGGTTGATTTGGCAACTTTTAGCGATTTTGCCAACTTTGCGTGCGAGTAGCTCGGATTTTCGCGATGCGCGAGCAAAATTTTGATACGCTGCTCTTCTTGCTTGGACGGCATTTTGACAAGTGAAGAGTGAATTCCAAAATCAAAATAGGAGCAACATTCTACACACACACACCTTCAAAATGAGGGGTGTTCAGGTTTTTTAAATGCAAAATTGAAAGAAATACGTCAAGTTGATATTGACCAAATTTTGACCGTATCACCCTTTACTACGATATGAGCTATAGGTTACGTGCATGCAAAGAAAACCAAGGCATAGTGCGATAGTGCAAACATTATCACGCATACGGTAGCTTTCTTATCATAAACCTACAAATTATCCGTCAGAGATGTGGAAAACCTAGAAAACTCAGGCAACTTTATTTTGCCAAATGAGTGGACACCCTGTAGATAGAGAAAGACGGTTAAATGTCAAAAAACTCTATACAAGGTCGTCAACTTCGAATTGTTCAACAATTAGAAAAAAATTAATGCACGTAAAAGTTTAAAATAGTGACTGATTACAAGAAAAAGTGACTTTAGCGACTTGGCCCTAAAAAAGGAGGCTTTTTAGTGACTGGCTTGAAAAAAGTGACCAAGTCACTAAAAAGTGACCAAGTCACTAAAAAGTGACTCGTTACCAGCCTTGTTAGTCAGAGAAATCATACTTTAATAATTGTCTAGTAAGTAGAAACTTTCCAGTCCTGGTTTTTATCAATGGACGACAATGGATGATGTCCGTCGGAGATTGGCACTCGATTGCGGAACAGAGACCGACGTTAAATAAAAGAAATTCACAAAAAATAGAAAACCAACAAGGGTTCGAAGAAATATTATCTTCCATTTCAGGTAGCTTGGGACCGTGGGACTGAGCCAAGAAATTCTTCGGTACAATCTGGTCTTAGAAATACCTCTGTGGTAATTTCGTGCCTTTACTGACTAGGCCATCAGAGGCTTCCTTTATTCACTCTGCTTTCTCAAATTCACAACGTAAACATTGTTCGTCGTTGAATGTTGTATCTCATCATGCTGCTCAAAAGCAAACTTTATAATAAACTTCAATGCCTTATCGGTAGAGTAAATGGTACCATATTGTTAGAAACACCCAACATCCCTCCGCACAGTTGTGAATTGTTACAGAAAGTTTATAGCTCATCCAAATTCCATCGGGAAATTCCCAAAAAGTATCCCATATTCAGTATCAAATTCACAAAAAAAAACTCTCCAGCGTACAGACGAAGCTAGGAAAAACTCGCAGAAAACTTTTCGCAAACTAATTAACCGTGTTCGCTGTCCGGTGTACTTTCCCTATATCCTGCGAGACTCATTGTCACCTTCTCCTGGTGGCGGTCCTGAGCACACAACATGGTCATGTCCAAAAGTCGCTTGGCCGTTAGTTTACTTTTTTCCCCCCGAATTAAGCACATACAAAACGAACCAACGACCGACCTCCTGTGCTCTACCCCACAGACACATCAGACAGACTCACGTGCTATTTAGGGGATGGGAACAAGCGAGAATGATGTGTTTTCGGACAATTCGTTTGCTTTGGACAGGGGGCAAGCTCAGCAAGAATGGAACTTTTCCACCTCCACCACCGATGCTTTGTTTCCACAGTGCAGGGGAACCGGATAGAAAGAGGATGCAAAACTAAAGCGGAAACCAGGATAATGAAAATCACGAAGAAAATTAAAATTATCGATTTTTTCAGCCGAAGCATATGGGAGGCAGGGTGGTTTTTTTTTGGTTTTGGATTCTTCAGACCGTTGGCCCCGCAAACGGAGCAAATGAGTACCGAGAGGATTGAGCGTTGTTGGCTTATTCGGACATGTTCCCTTAGATCGAGCTACAGTGCAATTGAAGTCAGAGGTACAGGTATGAGGCAAACGGTATACGCCTCCTCCTCGGCCCGTTTTCGTTGGGCTTGTTATGTCCCAAAGAAGGTGGTGGCAAGCTGAGGCGCAATAGAGGAATATTTTGCCGCATTTAGATGCGGTATGGAACGGCAGAGTGAACCGGAACGGGAGGCGACCGAAAAATCTTGGAATTTGATATCGTGAGAATTTGAGTTATGTACCGAGGGAAAACGGGAAATCAAATTTTTTCTTTCGTTTTCGGCTCCACCGCCTAAAGCGTGTCAATTTTCTATTTATTTGGGCAAATAAATTTTCTGCTAGGATTTAGCTTCTCGTGGGTTTCCCATCCGGTCGGAAGCACGTGCGCGGAATCATTGGAGCTAAGTGGCAACAATACCCTCGGCATCTGTTCGGTAATATTTGTTCGAAATGAAGTCTGAAGATTGAAAAGTTGACAGAGAGGATGTCGTCGTGCTTGGAATTGAGATATTCACCGACCGCGGAGAACAGATTTGTGCTGAGAGAAATGGATTTCACTTGTACACACATCAATTATTTACAATTCCATCAGAAGTATACATTACCATACTGTAGAAATTTTAGAACGCTTGTGCCGGGTCATGAATTATGAAGTCAACTCTGATTATTTATTTCAATTTAGAAATCAAATTTTCAAACAATGCCGTTTAAAACTGTTTCCGCCTCAGAAAATCAATTTCCCCTCCCCACATCAAGTAAGACGATCCTCGTCATCAAGACAGATTCTATTTCAACAACATTTGTGCAAACATCCACCCGTCCATCAATCGGAATCGCATTCCATCAGATTGCTCTTTATGTTCAATTCTCCCAGCATCTTCGTCCCATCTCCCAGAGTCCGAATACAATCTATATCTCATAGCTGGAATCTGGTATCAATTTCATCGATATGGCACACCATTCAAGAAGAAGACCCGATCCCACCGCCTGCCTCCGGACCCGAGCGACGGTGTGGTTAACACATGTATCCAAATCATATTTCCATCACACTTATACATTGGGATTGGGAGGACTTACCACTGTTGAAATCATGGATGAAGTAACGATTCCGCTGGGAGATATTAGTTCCTACGATGTGCTTGGCCTTAAGGAAAAGGTTATTATTCCCCAGATGGTCGGAGTGTCCATGTGTGCTCACCACCCATGTGATGTCATCGGGAGTCATGCGATTTTCCTGCAGTTCTGTTGGGGAAAAGAAAAGGATAAAATGCATCAGATTAATCTTGTTATAGTGAGATTTAACTTAATAAGATTGACAGGAAGGATTTATGCAGAAATCGGGTTTCAAGGGAAATTGAAATGATGAGTGTTCATATGCATTACACAAATCCATGCAATTTTGGAAGTGATTCAATTCTCAAATCGGATGAACATATTTCATGTCGGATGGAGCAATTTCTCGACTCCCACCAGGACATATGATAGCATTGTGATTGTTACATGATTTACGAAAGCAAAAATGGTACAGGCTTAGAAAGCTCTCAATGGGTTACTAGCTTTAGCTGGAAAATTTAGGAGCTTGGAGATTTACGTGCATGCACAGTGGGGCAGCGCAATGCAGCCAGCCGGTAATCTGATTTTATCTGCGGATCGAGAAACCAAACAGGCATTGTGCTAAGCAGTACCGAAGCCGAATTTGTGCGATTATGGGTCATTAGGCCGACTGGATCATAAGGCTAAATTATTAATACAGGGTGAGGAAAAATTATCCGTGTTTTTTCTCTCAGTGTAAAGTCCATCGAATTTGACAGATGCTAAAATGAGCACACCTCTGTCAATTAATCATTTTTTCAAGCTTCTGCATTCATGTTCCATCAGATGTCACAGCAGTTGTTTGTGGTGACATCTATCGGAAACTACACACAATCTGTTTTCTTATAATTGTTCACAGAAGACACTGCAGTGCAAAACATCTCTGGTACCTCTATATATGCATTTAGATTATTATTCGAAGTCCCTCCTTTTTTACACATTCTGCACACAAAATAGCTCACCCCTCACATAATTTCCCGCTGAATTTTATGTATGGGGCGGGGCACAAAGTATCTTTTGCGCAGAATATGTAAAAAAGGAGGGATTTCAAATGTTAAAGTAAATGCATAAATAGAGGTACCAGACATGTTTTGTAATGTCAGGTACTCTCTTTTGTAATCTGTGAAAGGGAAATCACAAAACATGTGTCAACAAAATACATGGCATGTTGAGAGATTGAGGTCGGGAGAGCAAATTTTCTCTCTCAAATTTGAATGTTTTGGCTCTCTGGGAGCTGGTAGTAAATCAGGTAAAAAAAATCATTTTTATTTAATTGTACCTTGTTTAACAATAATTTCCGGGAAAAAATTGAACTACAAAGTCCCTGATTAATTTCTTTAGGTTGTCGTTCACTTTTTTTGACCTGAATATGCACCGAAAGCGAATTATTCCCACTTCTCTCAATTTTTATATCACTTCCTACCAGCGGAACAGCGCCATCTCCGTGGAAAATGTTCGAACAAAATGATTAATTGAGACCTTGATACATAATGAACAAACGCTTGTAGTTTCGTTCACGTGTGTTGCCGTAATGAAGTATAGTCCACTCCGAAGTGCGGTAATTAAGCTTTATAAACAAGAAATTCGTCCAGCAGGTATTGCAAAAATATTGCAAATGCCTTCGCAAACAGTTCGGGATGTTGTAAAACGGTACCATTAACTCGGAAATTTGGAGGACCGTTCAGGAGGAGGCAGAAAAAGAAGTGCGAGGACCCCTCAGAACCGGAACATACTTCGTTTAAGGATTAATCGAGATTCTAGACTGTCAATCCGAAAAATGGCGGAATCATTGTAAATCGACCCAGAGTCAGTACGAACTAGTCTACGTTAGGATTGAGGATTGCATTCTTACAAATTTTCAAAGAACCATTACCTAAATGACAGGATGAAAAGGAATCGGTACCAAAAATCCAAGATTTTATTGAAGAATTTCGGCAATGGACGGCATCGCACGATTTTATTCACCGACGAGAAGATTTTCACTGTTGAGCAATACTACAACCACCAAAACGATCGCCAGATATTGCCAAAGGGTTCTTCTAACCGTACGCATGTTGCCAGATCACATCATCCAGCTCCGGTGATGGTTTGGGCGGGAATTACGGCTTCCGGTAAAACTCCCTTAATATTTATCGTAAAAGGCGTCAAAATCAACCAAATAGTCTACCAAAAGCTGCTGACGGACACAGTTGCACCATAGAGGTAACTCTAGAAGCTCCCGAAATAACGTGCTCAACTTTTGGGCTCAGCTCTGGTACTATCTACGGTCCCAAGCTAAACGATTCACCCCTCGAAACATAGGAAAATCCAATAACCCCTCATTTTATCTGTCAAACTTTCATAGCGAATCAAAACAAACATTGTGTAGTAGTAGAATTTCGACTAGAATGGGGTACGTTAATCGTTTGCTTGGGACCTAGTCAAGTAGTGAGCCAATTTAAAATCGATAGTTTCGTATTGATTGTTGGTTGCACCTTGGGCACGTACGCATTTCGGTAACAACGATTGGACATTTCAACAGGATTGGGCACCATAGCATGGAGCGAAAAAGACGCTGGAGCTTTGTGGCAAACTTTTTCCTAGATATTTGACAAAAGATGAATGGCCTTCCAACTCTCCTGATTGAAATTCAATGGACTATTCCGTCTGGTCTATTCTTGAGTCCAGAGCTTGTACTAAGTCACACATATATTTAGATCATCTGAAAGCAAGTTTGACAAAAGTCTGGGATGCAATATCTGTGGAGAAACTAACGTCCATCGTCGATAATTTAAGAGGTTGAAGGCGTGTGTACAAGTCAAAGGAGCACATTATGAGAAATTGTTGTAAATATCATAAACTATGTTGGTGTACCTACATTTCCCATAAATATGTTGTAATTCAATACACAAGCAATAAAGTTACGACTAAATCATTAAACACGGATAATTATTCCTCACCCTGTAGTTGTTCACTTAGTTTCGTATGGAATCTGCAATGTTCTGGTGTAAGAAAAAGATGAGTTGCAGAACAAGATGGTGAGATTGTGTTCCATTCCATTGTATCCAAATAACCATCTGTTTTATGGAAAAGTATTTTTATTTTATTTTAAAACCGAAGCATAGTATAAGTAACCTATATGGTCCTCAAAGTATATACATACATCAAGATAATGATTAAAGGGTGTCTTACATCAAACTGCATCACGGAAAAAAAACGCTGTAGAAAATTACCTAGTTGACCGATCCTTTTCAAACTTTCAGACAATTAAATAAAACCCATTGGTAAGCTTTTGGCATATGTATTTCATTCAACTTCAATACCATAACCATACGCTCGCACCTTACGCTTAACTCCACTCAGTAGGTTCTGTACAACTGGCTGCAGCTTCTTTTGTACGGAAACCCACTTTTTCTTCATGTCTTCCTCAGATTTGACCTCCTTGGGACGCTTCCGTAGTGTCTGCTTCATAATAGCCAAGTATTTTTCGATGGCCCTTAGTTCCGGTGCGTTAGGGGGGGGGGGGGTCATGTCCTTGGGTACGAAAGTGACCCCGTTGGCTTCAGTTGAATAGTGGCACGGAGCTAGATCTGGCCAGAAGATCGTAGGGCCCTCGTGTTGCTTCAGCAGAGGAAGCAGACGCTTCTGTAAACACTCCTTGAGGTAGATCTCCCCGTTCATGTATTTCTTGGCAAACTTTGAAAGCTGCTGCTTCCTTACTTCCTTCGGAACATCAAACTTGTACTGGGCGGTGAAAAACAGTAGCCCCGGAAGCTGCCGGAAGTCCGCTTTGACGTAAATCTCAGCATCCATGATGAGACAATGAGGCTTCGTCAGCATCTGGGTGTACAGTTTCCGGGCCCGTGACTTTCCCACCGTATTTTTCCGTTCGTCACAATTTGGAGCCTTCTCCACTTTGTACGTATGCAGTTCCTCCCGGTCCTTGGCTCGCTGTTAGAAAGACTTGGACAGATTCAACTTTTTGGCCCCATCCCTGACCGAAGCAATGGGATTCCGTTTAAACGCTTTCACGACACGCTTGTGATCCTGATCACTAATAGATCATCCTTTCTGACCGCATTTCTCCTTCTGTTCAATGCTCAGAGTTTCGTAGTAACGTTTAATCACACGACTTACCGTTGACTGCACGATTCCGAGTTGTTTTTCGATGTCTCTATGAGAGAGTTGAGGATTTTCCAGGTGCTTGCGCAAAATCAATTCGCGACGTTGCTTTTCGGGTGACGCCATTTTTTCCAACTTTCGAAAAACTGACAGCGATAAAAATACAGTGTAAACAATACACTCAAAGCTACTTCTACCCAAATTTTCAAGAAAAAATACCCAATAGGTAATTTTCTACAGCGTTTTTTCCGTGATGCAATTTGATGTGGGACACCTTTTAATTCCTTGAAAATAAATATTGACTACGTAACCTTTTAAATGCAGAATATGAAGAAGCACATTTACAGTCAAAAGGAAGGTAGTTCCATAAAATTACAGCACGTTGACAAAACAAGTTTTTTTTGACGTGTACTGCCTTAAATCGTTATACTGTTCCCGCTGTTCCCTAGAACGATCTACATTAGAATATGGAGCAGATGTTTGGAACCCTTTTTATCATAATGGAGTTGAGTGAATCGAGTCAGTTCAACGCAGATTCATTCGCTACGCACTTCAGCGATAACCGTGGCGTTAAAAGGATTACTGCACCCCTATGAGGAACGTCGTCGTGACACTCTAAGAGCTAAGTTTGTCGCTGATGTTCTGCAGAATCGAGTTGCCCAGCTTTTTTGTTTATTCATTTATTTGATAAGGCTCAACCGAATTAACTTTACAGAGCCGAGGATTCTTGTTCACTATACAATACATCTTAAAACTATAGTCAAAAGGTACAACACAATAAACATTTTATCTTCCGCTATCCAGTAAGCCTCCTCCACTAGAACGGGAACCGCTTCCAGTGGATTCATTGTATGGCAGATTCGCCAACGAGGGTCAGAGCGCTTCCATTGCAGCAATGGACGCAAAACGTGGTCATCACTCACACACTCATCACGAAACGGTTGCTTTTCAAAGTCGTCGACGCATCGACTGAAAGAACTGCAAATGAAGAACAATGAGGAGGACCACACAATAGTTGCTGCCGAGTAAACAGACGATCGCGTGACACA